CCCCAAAGCCTGCCACTCAATAAAACAGTGGGTGGTGGGGCGGGCCAATGGCCTGAGGGTCGGGACAACCGACCCCTACGCCCTGGCGAAAGAAAGAGATCGAGAGAGAGTACCCGCCCTGTGTGTATCACCCTCACACACCCCTCGAAAGCCCCAGAAAATGCGAGGCCACTTTGGCCGAGGGGCCTGACACGCCCCTTACGCCCGAAGGAGGAAGAAGAAGATCGAGAGAGAGAGAGAGAGTGTGTGTTTTCTTCCACAAGCCTGTTTACGTTACCATCCAGTTGCCGTACCATGCTATTCTCAAATTCATGACGACCTTCCTTCGTTTCCTCGCCTCTTGTGCCCCCTCCTGACTCCTGGTCTTTCGCCTCCTACTAGTAGTTCCCGACCTTGTTTCCATTGCGCACGATTTGACTTTGCTTCTCTAGTTACCTGACTTGTCAAAACACTGCTCGCGTCAAGTTCCACGAACGCGAGTCCTCGTCAATGTTCTCTGCTTTCAGCATTGCGATGCATTGCGACACATGTTGTTCGGTTTAGGTGGTTTACTTATGATGGTGTAGAGCCATGGTGTGCCAAAACTCTTCCGCATTTGCGCCATGAATGTGGCCAGCTAATTCTTGCAAAATCTGTCTTTGGGACGCCTAGGCAACTGCATTCCGCTTGTTCTACGCCGCGGAACCGATTCGGGTTTCAATTGATGTAAGGAGGGATGTTTGCTTGTTGTGAACCATGCCCGACCCAGGCCCGACCCACCCTTTCAATGTTGAGACATACTCCGATGCAAGCCTCTTCCTCCCCAACCCCACCGTGCCCCGCAAGTTCAACTTCGCCAAACACCGAAAGTGTCCTTGCACTTGCATGTATTAACAAACTTGCGTGCATACCCTGTGAGCAAGCAGTATGGCCCCCCGTATACACTCCTGTCCGAACATTCATCAGGTCGTGAAGTTGCCTTTTCTCACCGGAGCTGACTGTACTGTAGGCTCCACAGCTGCTTCACACGCTCACGCAGCTATAATGTTGATTTGTGCCTTGATCTCGTGCAACACATGCCGAGGTTTCGGGCTTCGCTTTGTTTCTAATGGCCAGAACATGTTTCAGTGTCTCGACTTCTTAGAAACTGCCATGCGTCCGGATGTGGATGAATTGGACTTTGCGTGGCTGGTGGCACAGCAGGCCGGCGGAATTTCTCATTGTGGGATGTTGGTGGAACGGATTCTAGTGATGCCGCATTATTCCAGGTCACAGGTCACATTCGAGCGCGTTGCCCATCAACTTCATCAACCGTCGTCGTGATTGCGAGCACAGTCGACTACAGGCGCACATTATCTGATCTGATCTGACATGACATGAGGTGATGCCAGTATGGCATGATGTGTGGCTGTCGACTTTCGCAGTGAGTTTGCATTGGTGGCGGCAAAGCCATGACCTCAGCCATCTTGTACAGAATCGGTGAACCCTCTTGAGTCGATGAGAACCGGAATCTTTGCTAAATGGTTTTTGCCGCTTCCCATGGATGCAGGAATCTGGCCCGTCACCTTGTGTCCGCCGAGGACACTCTACACGCTTGACCCCATGCGTCAGCATTGTCCTCATTCCATCCAAAGTAATCAATTGCGCTTCTTGTCAGGAAACTGTTCAATCGCAAATATCACGAGTTTGGTACTTGCCATTGGTTTGGTATGGCTTCGCATCAAAAGGCACGGTTGCCACGGTGCCCGCACGAAGAACGACTGTCAACAGGATCACGTCATTGAAGTTGGCAGCAGCTTGGGGCATTGCACAGAAATTCTACACGCCAGGCGCGAGCAGGAATTCAAAGTTGCAGTCAGTTCTGGTCCCAAAGTGCTTGCCAACGCTATCGCACGAAGTGGCCGTGCTAGCAACCTGCTTTGTAGATCTCCGGTCCTCACAGCACACTGGCAGAGCGGCTGACGTACTCGGTCTCGACGTGTCTGTCGCCCAGCTGGCCGAAAGCCGCCGCCGAGTTCCAGGGGCTGAGTTTGACTTTCTTGTGCCTCAGCCTGTTCCAGCATGCTGGAGCTTAGACCGAGCATGTTGAATCTCCGTTATCAGTTGCTTGAATCAAGGACATCTTTGAAGAGGCAGACCGCTTAGCGGCGCTTCCAGCTGCAGCTCGCTGCAAGAAGGCTGGCGGCGTTTTGGAAGCTGTCATTACATCAGCCATCCGAGTGGCATCTTTTTCATCATGTCATCAGTTTGATACATGCAGCGCTTTGCAGGTATTTCTAGATATTGGTGGTGATCGCCAAAAGTTGTGTCTCGGACTTGTCTAGATGCACGACTGAACCACAGGTCCCATTGTTACCCTCATGCTGTGCAATCGTAAAGTTCTGAATTCTGAACTTCGACATGCTTATGCTTCGCATGACTTCGTGCTGTGCTCAAAAGCACATTACTTGCGGGTTACTTGTGAGCAATGGGCTTTCACGCAGCTTCTTTCGAGGACCCGTGCTATCAGGCCCAGGCAGGAGTGAATGACGACGGCATACCACCAGTCTCAAACACTTTTCAAACACTGAAAGCTCAGGATCAGAAGACAAACGCATTCAAACATAAGCTTTAGGGCGGGATATCCTTACTTTTTTGAATATCCCAGCCTTATCCGGCTTATCCTGTCCCAGACTTGTGGTTTTTTCTTAGGTGCTAGCAAGATAGGAGACTTGCTGTCGATGTTTTGCGTAGGGCCTAGGGTTTATTCGGCCTTAGGCGCTCCACCAACTCCAGGTGTATTTTTTGCATGAAGCAGACTAAGGCAAGTTTTGCATGCGATCGACATCTTGCGACGCTGCATGCCGAAAGTGCAGTTGATTGTGGTGAAATCGGAGGAGCTCTGGTGCAAAGCAATGATCAGCAGAGCTTTGTCCACCTGTGACATCTACAGACTACAAGTCAATGAACCGCGTGGAAGCCTTCCAGCATTAAAGCTGTGGAGGAGCTCCACAGTGCCATGGCTTCCTGGACAGGGTGTGCAAGCAGTGCCAGCAATGGTGAAGGCACTTGACCCTGCCGTGAAGTCTCAGGCGTCTTGCTAGAAAACCGAGTTGTTAAGGTCTTTACCTGGAGCGGCCGAGCGAGTTTCTACACTCCGCTGAAGGCAGCTGCTGGGCTGCTGGCTGATTTTGCACCAAGTGAAGATGTGTTTCAATTCAGGCTCCGCCGCACCTTTGCGCCTCCCAAAGCAGCGCCGCGCAACCCGGGTCAGGTCGACGGGCGCAATTCTTCCTCATGACTAGAAGGCATTTAGCGCTTCTGTCAGCGCAGAGCAACGTTCAGTTTGATCCCAGTTGGGGTAAGGAAGGGGGGCGCAGCAGGGTCTGGTCACTGTCGCAAAGTAGAGGGACCGACGCACCCACAAACCCCCACCCCACCCCACACCCCCGCACCCACACCCCCGCACCCCCACCCCCACCCTCGATTGAGTTTGATGGATGATAGCAGATGTCTCAATAAATCGTGTTGATGATGATTGTGGTTTGGTGCAAATCTTACCAGACACGAGGCTTGACATACAAAACAAGATTAGATTATCCACATGGTTCTTGCAGTGGTCGTGGCTGGTCGTGTTCCTCAGACCGACGATGTGTTCTAGATTGACAGACACTGAAACTGCCGGCCTTGATCCTCCTCGCACCCCTTTGATGGCATTCCGAGTGCTGTGTTGCGAAATGTCTTTGCTGCATGGCAGAGTGTTGCAGGGTGATCAAACGAAATCGACTTGACAAAATACATGAGCACGCCGCTGCCATTGCGTCAGACTGAATCCTCGATGCAACTTTTGCCTTCTGATTCAGGTCGCTGGCGCAGAACCAGGTTATGGCTTCGGCACGGGACTCACTCATTCGGTTCGAGAGTGCATTCCGCTTGCTGCAGTTCATAGCCAAGGCAGACCCCGAGAGGTGGTTCTCTCGACACGAGATCGAGGTTGCAGATACAGATCAACGCACGGTTTAAGTCACACGCCTGAAGGCCGCATTGAGACGATTTGCACTTCCTGTGGTCCCCGCATGGTTGTATGTACGCCGTTGCAGGAAGGTCATGGAATGTCTTGAAAGCATAAAGACGCCCGAAACCTACGCGGGCCTGTTCCGGACTCTGTCCGACCTACCACAGGCCTTGTCCAACCCTGCCACAGGGCATGTCGGACCCTATCACAGACCCTTGGGCACAGGGCCTGTCCGACCCTGCCACTGGGCTGGTCGACTGTTTCGAGATGTCCCGAGAAGGAGCAGACCCAGGGCTTCTCCCCAAGAGCTTTCGCGAAAGCTGCGGAAACACCGTCGAGCAAAACGCATGCAGAACAGAGAGTGGGATGCGCACTGCAACTGATAAGCTCCTATTCATCTCGCAAGTATCGCAGAATCCCTTGAAATTTGTGATGTCATGTAGCCTTGGCCCTGCCTGCACCTCATGAGCCTTGACTTGGCCTGAAGAGGATACTGTAGTCCACAGCCGCGAGTGGACACCAGAATCCAGAGCATGGCTGCAAATGCATGATGAATGGCTTTATGCCAGTGACGAACCTAAGACGAATGCAGGCTGCGCTCCCGTCCTTTTCAAACATGCGTGGCTTTTGCTTGGCCCGAATCTTGGTGGCAACAAGGCTGACTTCGTTGGGGCCTCGAGATGCTTAGAAGTGAAGCCAAGTCTGGATCCTGCAGCTACTTGCAGAGGAGATGAGGAATCGAATGCGGAGCTGGCAACCTGCTCAGGGCTAAGACATGCCGAGTGTCACGGGACTGGATACAGAAAAGCACAAATCAAAAAGTGTATATGGATGCCTTGCAAAGGGCTAGTGAGAAACCTTTGATGGGTATCGGAGTTCGTGATGTGTAGTTAATCTCGCCGCCCGTACTGTCACGACGATGGGCAGCAAGCAGCTGTTGCCGGCTTCGAGTCTTTTCGAGTCCACCCAACAAGGCCATCTCTGCCTGTCTGCCGTTTCAGGCCTCTTCCTGCATCACGAACAAAATCCACTGTTCTTGGTCGCGTGCCTACTCCGAGGGGTTGTGACATGTTTTTCAAATGTCCGAGGATGAGCACATGAACTCTAGAGCAACACGGGAATAGCAGCTTGATGCAGCAGTTCGGATGCGGATCAACAGGAAGAGGTTTCGAGTATAGCGACCATCAGCGGAAAGACTAAATTTGCGATTGTAGGCCGCAGGCTTTAAGTTTCGGTGCCGATTTTCCAGTCATCGGATTGGCACCCGGATTAGCGTCCTTTTCTTTCTTACTTGTTTGTTCTTGCTGCTGCTGTGCGGCGGTGTTGTTTTGCGGCAAGCTAATTGTTCCGAGTTAACGATTTCTGTTCGGCGGCATATCTCAGTCTGTATGTTTAGATGTGTATAAGAGATAGGTAGATATAAACGGAAAGCATATACAAAGATAAATGACTATGCATATATGTACATACTGACTATGTACGTCTATCTGTCTATCTATCTATCTAACTATCTATCTATCTAAATACATATCTGTGTATAGTTAATAACTGAAAGAAGAATAAAGTCACAGTGACAGATGACAGCATTCATACTAGTAACAAATAAAGACTCGTCTAATAGTAACTTGGCAACAAAATCAGCTTCACTCTGTACACTGCGGGTATGCTGGGATGATCCGTCCCAGTGTCAGCCGTGACTAGCCCTCTTCGTTGGGTCCCTTGGTCTCAGGGTGGTACACACACAGCTGGCCCTGCGAAGGGGTAACACTCAAATCAGGTAACATCTGGTATGACATGATTGAGTTGATCACCAATCACAGCTGTGTCATGGAGGCCTGGCGCCACGCAAGAGCTTCTTCTGCATCTTTGAAGTCTTAGATACAGGATAACACCTGTTGAGGTACGTATTGCATGCTAACAGACTTGACATCCTGCTCCCTTTGGGATTGCGAATGGGAGCACCAAGATGCCAGACAAACTCTGCTGTTGACCGCAGCCAACTTGTGGCTTGCACGCCGTGCAGAGATCATCGGCTTGAACTTGTGTTGCTCTATCGGAATGACAAAAGCAAGACAACGCTCAGCTGGATGCAATACAGTGCCCAAGAACTCACCGGACTCAACTTCGGCAAGCCCTACAGGTTTCTCATAAACGTCAAATTGACAAAGCTTCGAGCGCCATGAGCAATGTGCATTGTGTTCCGAATACCCGACCAAACGATTGTCAACAGAACGGCAGACGAAAGCATGATCATGATGTCGACGAGTCACATCTTGATTTGCTTCCCACCACTGCTGCTCAATGAAACTCATTGCAATGTCGACTAAAACAGCAGAAATTTGATTGCCAATTGCCCTGCCACGTACTTGCTGAAAGACGAAAGACTCTGAACAAACCCTGAAGTTTGCGGTGACAATGAACTAAGTTTGAGGATGTCTTCGAGATGAATATGACAAGCTCGACCTCGTTTTGCTCGTTTTGATCCTTTCAAGATTCGAAACGTTACATCTTTCTCTCTCGGAAAGACTCTGAACATCATGTTGTCGTCATCGTGATGTAAGTTTTCGTAGCGTTCGATCATCCATCGAGCGGCATATTCAATGCGTTCCGCTGGAGTGGACGTGAAAAAACCACCGAGATCCTGATTGGACTGCAACAAATGATGTTCAAGGTGAGTATGCCGATGGAAGCCTTGTAGGCGACCGAACATTTCAAGCATAGTCTCGTTCCCAAAGAATCTTGAAAATAAAACTTCATGCTTGCCATCAGCACAAAAGCAGTACAGCGAAACAACCTGGCAAAAGGAAAGGATCTGTAGTTGATGTCCAGGATATACGAAGTAGGAACCTCAGCATGTTGTCGAATACCCCAACTGTACTTCTTATGCATGTGAGGAGCAGCATGGTCTCTGTCAACCGGCGAAAAAACAAACATCTTCCATTAACATGGGAACCCGAGCAAGCTTGCGGTGCTGACGTAGGAAGTCATGCTATTGTAGGTACGTAGTGCAACCGATTTTGTAGTGTCGTAGATAGCAATCCATGTCATCTTACAATGCTCTGCAAAGTCAGGGTGCGCTTGTGTAGTGTGCAACCATGTGGTTGCGTGTGTGTGTGTGTACCAGCCTGAGACCAAGGGACCATGCATGTCAAGGAAAGCAGACGGGCAACCCTGTGAGCATTGCCCAACGAAGAGGGCTATGCCACGGCTGATACTGGGACTGATCATCCCAGCTTACATGCAGTGTGCAGAGTGAAGCTGATTTTGTTGCCAAATGAAGATACTGGAGAAATCGATGTGGTTAGCTTACTAACCCATGGTATGATTTCGGTCATATTGAGGGTCATTTCAAGTGTGTACCTCGGCTGGATATCTGTCATAGCGCCAGTCATGAGGTTCCAGCTTTATGTAGAAAGCCCGGTGGCCAGAAGGATGAGTGCAACAGGTTCTTTAAAATATTTTTTACACAACTGCTGAAAAGCGTTGGGACAGTGTCTACTTGTGATCCTAAATGCAATATATCTTCGACTATACAACTTGTGTGCGCAATGCTTTCTTCTACTCTACAACTTGCATTGAAGAGTGTGGTACCATCTGCAGAGTATGTTCTTCTACTCTACAACTTGTGTTAAAGAATGCTTTAACAATTAACAATCAAGCCGTTTCAAGTGCGCCATGCAATCATTTCCGTGCTTCCAGTTCTTTTCCAATTCGACGCCACTGGAGCAAGCAGGCACATTAGCACCAAGAAGAGCACCGGCGCCGATCACTGTAACATCAGTGCACCCGCCGTCTCGTTCAGAGCAAGTGCACCAGCAGTCTCCGCGCAAACGTGAGACTGTACCACTTCGCTCGGAACACACATCTATCCGAGCGAGTACGATCTTATTCAAGATCTCGCGACTTTGGCTGCCTTGAATTGTTTAGAAGTTTGCAGTCACATGACATAAGTGCGGTTCGCCTATGTTGGAACGCGTAGTACCTTTGCAGCTTCATGACGTGAGTCCGGTTTGATTTTGGAATGCGTAACTTTCGCACCTTTTATTGTTTATCTTTTGATTTTTTGATTTTCAATATGGCATAAAGAACAACGAGCATGGCCGAATTATCTTCGAGTAACAGTCGACGTCGCCTGCAGATCATTTTCCCTGACGATTACTTCATGCAGCCTACACGAAGTGTCTGTCAACTTCAAACAGAGGTGGAAGGCATCACACGCGACACAGTCGGTGTGGCGAAGAGGATCATAGCCACGCGGGTCTATGAGCTGACCTGCAAATATAGACCACATCACATTTTCAAACGGCTTCAGAACGGACAGCACGTTCTTGTCTTGATGGCGGTTACAGCGCTAGCTGTCAACCAGCCGATTCAATTGGTGGTCACGCAACATGATTACAAAACTATGATATGGGCCAATGATGTCTTACCCGACCGATTCACCAATGTTAAAATGTGGACATTTTGCAGCTTCATGACACGAAAGCCGTTCGCGTATGTTGGAGACCATCGACCATCTGCTGCTGTTTCATAACATGAGTGCGATTCGCCTATGCTGGAATGCGTAGATTTATGCAGCTTCATGTGTAAACCGTTTGCAGCTGCATGACACGAGTGCGGTTCGCGTATGCTGGAGAGCATCCACCGTCTGTTGTTTCGTAACATGAGTACCATTCGCCGATGCTGGAATGCGTATATTATATTTGTGCAGCTTCATGACATGAGTTCGGTTTGCCTATGTTGGAACGGGTAGGTTTCGTTGAGACATGACATGAATTCTGCTCGCCTATGTTGGAATGCGTAGATCTCGATCGCAAGGATCACCATCGATTCCACCACCACTGCTATCTCCGACACGATCACTTTTGATGAATTTCGATGGAAGTTGTGGTTAGAAGCAATGAATTTTTCCGGAGATAAGCGGAACTAGTGCGGAACTACATTGCAGAGTCGCAAAACTATTCCATGTTGATGCCAGTGAATTATTGTCAAGTCAAGATGCGTTGCATCACATTGCAAAACATCCTGAGGTTGTGAAACAAGATTTCATGCTTGAAGCTCTTCATCGGTTTGCGAAAATCTTGAATGCGAGCAACATCAATTTCAAAAGAAGTGTTACAAGCTCCTGCCACTTTACACAAAGATGAAGACGGGGCGATTGTTTGGGGCTTCGCCGTGCACCAAATTCCGGGCCAGCAGTTGCAATGGAAGGAGCCGGAGATAATTGCTGTGTTTTCATTCATGGCACTACCGAGCAAGGTGCACTGGGTTCCACGCCTGGGGCATGCTTTTGATCGGCGCATTGAATGCCGGAGTGCCACCGTTCCTTCAAAAACTTGCCAGAGATTGATCCTTTGAAGTTTGATGACAGCCTGGTTGAGTTTCGCCGGCAAGCTGGCTCGATCGACAAGTCGTGGATACTGTTCGACACTGGAGCTTGTGCAAACTATTGACCGGAATGGTTTGCACCGGAATATCCTGCGCTGCACTTGGGTGAGAGTGCGCCCTCACTGCGAAGTTTGTTTGGAAAGACATTGAATGTGCAAGTAGGACCATTGTGCAGCATGATTGCAGCAATGGGAGTGTACAGTTCTACTTGTTTTGCCGGTTGTTGTTGCAGGACTTCTGGACCGTAGGGCCCCGAGACTGTCTTGCCTTGATTGACTCCACTGTAAACCCTCTTCCGATTGTGCGACAGGGTACATTGGTGGACCTGATACCGACTGTTAGCCGCATGCCGTTGTAGATGCGGTCGGATTGGCAACGAGTCGTTTGACTGATGTGTTGTCGGGAATGGAGCAACCGTTTGGTGCTTTGGGGATTTGCGGTGCGTGTCGATTTTGCATGACAGCTCGGCTCGGTTGACTATACTTCGTGCCCTGATTGCTGCGGCACAGGGCATAAAGAATGCTCATGGTTACACATTTGACGCGTGGGAAGTGAATGAGCCCCAGCTGAAATTGATCCGGCACGTCCAGACAGAGAAACGAAACGTTCGATCTTCGAATCGAAGCCTCCAAGACTTTGCCAGCACAAATGTCCCGATTGACGGGCGAAAGAGCGACATACAGGATGTACGATGGAAGGATCGACTGTAACTATCAGGGATAGGAGATTCTTGACTTTGGCAAGCACCCGGCCCAGTGACCCGAAAGCATGGAAAGGCCGGGTGGAGTTAAAATAGCGCCGCAAGCAGCAATTGAGGCATGGGAAGATGAGTGAGCTCAGACGTTGGATTTCGCAGATGGGCAAGCCTGAACCTAAAACAGCGCTGCGTGCGCCAAGCTACCTGTGGGCCAACAAGGAAGAGCCAGTTGGTTGACTTGCCTGGTTGAGACCTTTGACAACCATTTAAGTCCGAAACCATGAACCTTTGTGACACTTCCCCAGCTATCTGCGGTCTTCGCCGGTAATATATATATATATCTATGTATATATATATATTCATACCTATATACATATGCATATACATATGTATGTGTGTAATGGGTATTTCGGTACATGTTCATGTAGAATCATAACCTCGTATATGCAGTGGTCAACTTCCCCTGCGGAGCAGCACGTGTTCTCCTCCTCCTCCTCCTCCGTGTGTGCTCATCCTTCCTCCTTGCCCCCAGGCTCCAGACCCTTGCATTTCGGGGAAAATACCATTGCGGGCCCAGAACAAACCGCGCACAGCCATACCATATTTGTATACTTGACATCAGCTTCCATGACAAGCTGGATCTGGATGGTCAGGATCATGCAGCGTGTTGCATTTATGCCGATGACAAAGAGGCCCGCTTGCATTCGATCTATTTCGACAGTCGCAATCAAAGGCGTCCAAAATCGAACTTTCCTGCAGGTCGAAGCATTGATGCGGCGCTGTGGCAAGCATGCGATACCCGTCTTTTGGGGTCAGGGTGGAGGACTTCAGCCGAAATGGCGGGGAGCAAGTTGAGAACAGCTGGCTTTGTGCAATGCTCATGGCGGATTTGATTGCAGGAGCTGTGATGCAGGAGTTCCTTGGTGTCTCGCCTGGGTTGACATCGCGACCGGGTAATTGGTTATGATTCTGAATGCAATATGAACTGGTGCTGTGGTGCCTACTAGAACGAACGGAAGGTTGTGCCCTGCACGCACGCCGGTTCGGTGTCGGAGGAGCTTTAACTGTTTTTGCCTGATCCGAGCTGCCAAGGATCATACGAGATTGTTGACATGTTGCCGTTGAGCCACAGCCTCTACGAGGTCCTGTCGGCTTGTTTTTGCTTCTCGGCTGTGATTTTGCTGTACTGTATAGGTAGCATTGAGATTCTGATTCATCTGATTGGTGTGAAACTGCGCGGGTCGGACTTGGAACTTACTGAACCACATACACACGGTTGTTGCCATGTCGCGTTTTGCCTGTCTTTGCACTAGTATCGACATGCCTAAAGGATGTTCAAGTTTTGGCCAAATCTGGACGCCTTGTGATCAAACTTAGACGGTCTAGATGGTTGCCGCAGTGCGTGGCCCCGAGCGGTTGATGCTGTCGGTCTGCCATTTCTCTCGCAGTCGGCTGGAGGGGTGGCCACACATCTGCTGCCGCCTCCTGGTTCGTTAGTCGGAGGGGCAAATTCGTCGCCGCCCAAGGCCCCACCGTAAACGAGACATCTTGCGGATTCGTGGCATGTAATTAGCTCACAGCATGTGCTTGCCGGGCACCGCCACCGGCACCCGTTCAAGCAGTCAGCACCCTGAAGGCTGCATTTCATGAACCCATAGTTGCTTGTGTATAACACGAGTGACATAAATGCTTTTCCCTAGATATGTTCAGGCCGTGTCCAGCCAAGCCACTGGGTCCGTTAAGCGCTGTGTCGGAGAACGCAGGCGGCTTTGGTGTCGTCTTTCCGTCGTCTTCCCTGCGGGCAGCCCATACTGAGTGGATGAGCAGGAGTGCGATTGCACAGTGTCAGCACGGCACTCGCAAACAAGCTTCGTCATCATTACTCATGATTATGCTTCACTGGGCTGCCGTTTGGATATAACAAGACTTGGCATGACTTGGCTGAAATTTGCAACAAAACGACCGCCCTCTAACGTGAGATAACGTTAGGATGAAGGACGCCGGGCCTTTATTTAATCGTTTCTTCATGTTTTCGAACTCTCCCTGCCACCGTCTTCTCTGGCAATCGACAAACGGGAAACAGCAGGTACGTCACGCAAGAACATTTGAAGCAGGAAAACCTAGCTGGGTTCACTTGGAGTAAAGACCGCCAGGCTCCTGCTTTATGTGAGCATCTTCAAGGGCTCCGTCGTCGCTCTCGCAGGCCCAGATAAACCAGTGACTGCATCCATGTAGCGCACTTGCAGTCACTTGCACGCCTCGTGGACTTGGAGGCCAATGACTGGCCCACAGCTACTGCAGATGAAGTATGTCGAGGCAGCACGGGAGCCCCTTGCTGAGCAAGTGTGGCCACCGAGAGCGTTTTGAACGGATGTGAGTTTAGGTTTCTAGAGTGCTGTTCTATTTGAGTGCTTGTGTTTGCGAAGTCTGCACATACTCAGGTCGACATATCCAGAGCATCCCTGCAAGTGCAGTGATCCATCTGCATGGCTGCAGGAGATCTTGAGACGTGTGCAGTGGCATGAAAACGTGGCACAAGTTGGGATCGCATCGGCCGTCGATCACTTTTAGCATGCGAAGGGACGCAATAGTGCTGCTCGTCGTCATCCGGCAGCAGTCTTGTTGCAGGCGTGGGAAAGTCAGATCTTGAGTAGGGCATCTCGATGTCATTATTGCCTGTTCCCATTGCTGGACATTTTCTGCTTCAGCTACCTACAGCTTTGTGGCACATGGCCAAATCATGTTGAACCTTGGGTAGCGATCGGGTAGTATGTTGTCTCGGAAAAGCTGGGAAATGAATTCCCTAACCAAGCATGCGGGTTCACGTTGTCCTCTCCCGAAGTTCAAGGGACATCGCATGTAATACACTTCCATCGCTTCCGTTCATGGCTTTGCCGTGCTCATCTACAAAGCTGCACAGACAGATCGAGGCAAGTTGGTCAAGCTTGTTGATGGGATGTTGCCCAGCGGCTGTATCAGGCTGCTGATGCTTCTGTCAAAGCTGTTGCAAGAACCTGTGGCGAGGTAACGACAGTAGGTTGACTCGCACGGATGCGTCTGAGAGAAGAGTATTCCCTCCAGGTGCGCCGCGGCCGAGGACAACATCGAGCCAAAAAGCGTTTGGACTTAAAAGGTGTATACCACTATGCTCCCTTACAGTTGCTTCTTTGCTTCACTGCGTTGCCGACGAACCACAACCCCATCATATCCCACCACACCTCAGATCAAATCATTTTGCGTGTACTTGTAGTTGTGTTGGTTTCATTGCAGCCTGACTTTGACTTGACTTCGGCCTGCGCCAGACATGCTATACTGGACCCGCTCGAATGTCCAAGAAGCAATCCCTTCCGGCTGAACCGGCACAGCACTTGGTGGGATCTGTTCGGGATTCGTGGCTGGAAGTCGAAGAAACTTAAGAAACGTGCCCACACTAGCATCGAGATCACTAGCAGTGCACCAGTGCCACATGCTGAACCGAGATGCTGCAAACACACCTACATAAGCCCTCGATGCAGCGTCAGGACTTGGCGGCTGGCCTGCAGCAGCCTTTTGGCTGCTTGCCGTGGAGGCGTGACGACGATGATTCGCTGCTTCGCTGTTCCACATGCATGTGACGGATCACGACTTCACGAGATGCATCATCCAGAGCACTCTCACTATTTTACGTGTGCCAGTTTGTCTTTCATTGCTCAATATTATACGTGCAAGAATGCGCACAGATGTTCGGAACATCGGAAGCGTTTTCTCACGAGGCGCTTTGGTACAGAAGTCTTCTCTGTGGTTCGCCCGTTGCGTGCCCCAGGATGCAGGGTGCACCAGATTGCCACGGAGAGTGTTGTTGCATAAGTTGCATAGTTGCGTGGTCAACGGTTGACTTGACTTGGAAAAGGGCATGACTGGGCACGTCTTGTTGGAAGCAAATGTCATTTCTTCCGCCTGGGATGCGGCGTCTCGGCATGCTGCCAGTTGGATTCACGTTCGCCCGCTTGAGCTGTCTTCACTTTTTGACGCCTTGTTCCCGCTTGGAGCTGGCTCAAGTTGCCACTCGTAGTTTGCCTGAGTCCATCTGAATGTTGCACGGCTAGGCAATCCCCTTTGCCATGTGGCGGACTCTCATGGTCATGTTTCCCGTGCACGCGTTGCGGACTGAGGCCGGCAAGCAAGTTGGGGGCTGGGCCTCTTCACACAAATCGATGCCTCAAGTCCCAGCTGTGCCAAGGTGGGTGATGCCGAGTCCGTTGATCAGAGTGGTTATTCACTGCCGCGACGGTGCTCGAATGGCTACTTCAGTTCCAGCCATTGCTGTTCCTGCTCTGAGATAAATGGTCAGAGATTCGAGCCAGAACTGGGTGCAGAGATTGACACTTGCGAGTGGGTGCTTCGGCGATGTGGCATAGGAGCTCGTAAACGCATTGCAGGGAGCGCGACAGTTTGTTGCAAGGAAATCGCTTCGGTGTGATTGGCCAAGGTAACGAAAGATGGTGTCGTACACGGGAAGCCTTGCTGTGCGGTGTGGGCCGTCGACTGCCAGGAGGAGGAGCCACAGTTTCAGCGAGGCCTCAACCGCGACTGCATCGTTACAAAGGCCTGCTGGGTCCCAATGGTCACCCACGTAACAGGAAAAGGGCTATGGTAAGATGGGACTCTTCAAAACGGTGACGTTCGCCCGTGGTAGTGTGCGTGCTTGGCAGGAAGAGTGTGCAAACTCTGAGTGTTCCGACGTCTACAAGGAGTGCATCGATCGTGTCAGACCATGCGCGGCCACATATTTTGCACGCTGGGGGCAATCAAGGAGCTTGCTTCAGCGCGACATGCACTGGCGAAGGACAGCTCCAAAGAATCCAATGACAACTCGAAATGACTTGACTTGACACCCATCTCAATACTTCGACGTCTTTGTGATTTGAGGCGAAGCGCGATCGTCCACAGAGGAAGAGCTGGGAGGAGCAGGTGGGAGCAAGATGAGTGGTGAATGCGGCGACGGGGGGAGCTCGGTGTGGGCTTGGCTCCAGAAATTCACGGATGTTTAGGGTTTGAGAGCCTCCTCGCTATCCTGTCCTAGCACTGTCCTAGCTGAATTTCAAGGCCTCCTCTGCCTCCGGGCTGCCGCGTCCAGTGTCGGTGTTGTCTGCACTTTCTTAGAGTTTGGCCCCTGCGCCCGGTCTTGTCAGGGCATTGTCAACGGCAAGAGCAACAGCCCCTGGAAGCCTGACTGAGAACTTCTTGGACTCTGCAGCTAGCAGTTGCTTTCCTGTTGGGGGCTGCGAACTCACCTGGAAATCAAAATCGAACGCTGTCGGAGTCTACCGCCGAAGGGAAAAACAAGACTCCGAGCTATTGCAGGCACGTACAACTGAGTCTGACATGCTGGGACATGGTTGCAGAAACGCCTTAGCCTTGGTCTGCTCACAACCAAGGATGTGCCCCTGTGCCTGTGGGAATATTGTAGACCTGGATCCCAAGCAGATGACCTGCAAGTCATTAAATGACGCTTGGCTTCGCAGATGCGAACAGTGTGTTCCGTCAACAATCCTCAAACAGCCTAAAGTTCCCGTTTGTGCTATTCTGCTCTACATGCGACAAACCTTGCACCTTGATTAAGCATGTCTGAGCTTGCTCTTTTTCATGTTTTAGCCTTGATCGCATGTGCTTGAGAGTGATTTTGACGATTTGATTTTGCTTTTCGCCTTTCATTTGGTCATTTTCAAAGAGTGTGCTGCTGACTCTTTCTTGCTTCCGTAAGCATTTCATTTCGTAACAGTCGAAGGGGTCATTGCGGTCTTTCCTTAGCCATGCCAACGAAGCTATGGGAACAGACTGGAAGGGAAGCTGGAGGCAGTGTCCTGTACGATGCCCTGGACGTTGCGGCGTAGCTTGGGCATCTGCTGTCATCATTAAAATCAAGGTTTGTGAGGCAGTGTGTCAGCGCTCATGTCTACTTGACAAATGTCTGCATGGTTTCCGCAATCTGCATGTGTTTTGCCAGTTTTGGCAACTTGACATGTGTGCATTTGCAGACGTGCACTCATAATTAACGACCCGATGGTCGTCGTCCACATCAAGCTTGGGTCTCGCAGTACCAGCCTGACTTGTGTCTAGAGAGTTGTGCACGGCTGGAGCTCCCTCATGCGAGCCCGCCGTTTTTCGGCGAAATATGCTGGCGCGATGGCGCTCCTGTGTAGGAGGTCCGGAAAACACGCAGGATTGATAACATGTTCAAGTGGAAATCACTTAAAAATCAACGGTCATGTCCGGAGAGCAACAGTCATGAGGGAAATCACGTGACGCCAGGTTTCAGACTGCTGCTGCTCAATTGATGTCCTTGTGTTTTTGTGTTTTGTAGTCGAGGTTGCCCGAGATTGCACTTCTTTGCCTTATGGATCGTGATCGCACTCCCCGTCGAGCACCGTGGGGCGGACTCGCCGCACCACCACCCAGTTGGATGCAACCTCGTGCAGCAATGGGCAATAATTCAGCTCGCCCGATGATCATGCAACCCCAGAATCTACAGTGGCAGCCGAACCCTACCTTGTCCTGGGCGGTTTCCGCACCCACGGCCCCTCCGGCAGTTGCTTCGCCAAATGTACCACCATCCGGACCAGGATCATGCCCATTGGCTTCGCATGTTGCAGCATGTGGAGGGTCACTCTCCACCGCAACATCCAGCAGCCAACACAGCTTTGGCCCCCTTATGCCACCAGAATTTGGGCAGAAGCCACATTACCTGGACAGTCGGAACATTGGGGGCCTCCGGTCGGCCCGATGGGTAAAGAAGACGGAATGGTCGACTCGCAAGTTGCTGGACAATTGCCCTACACATATGATTCCGCTGCACGCACTGTTGTATCAAGGATGGAAGTCATATTGGATCCGGCACATTGCTGAGGGACGACCGACGTTCTTCGCATGCTTTCACAGCATGCCGGAAGTTGCGTTTTGCCATGCACCGTTTTCCAAGCTTCGAGATGAACAAATGTCGCTCGACGAGCTTGCGGCACACGCGTCCGGATCGCAGATGGTGAGCAGCAAAAATGATGAGCATGTCCAAGCATGTCAGGATCTTGCAGCAAGAGTGTGTTTTGCTTCCGGTGGAGGCTCCGAATCCGGAGATACAAGTTCTTAACGATCAGGCTGAAATGCTGCAAGAGCAGTTGACGAACTTTGAGAACACCCCGTCACTCGCCAGCTTACAGTCTCATTCCCCAGGTACGGCAGGCAAGATGTCAACAACCTCCGGACCAGTGCCATTACCGGTCAATTCAGGATCGCCGTTGCCAGGAGACACCTCTGATCCTGCCATCAACTCTACCAAGGCTCCGGATGCCTCCACACGGCTGACGAAGCAGGACAGTGGAAATCCTCGGTCCACCTTGTTCAGTGTTTTCGAGAAAGGAAGAATATCCGATCACCGACATGGGAAGACTTGCAAAAACGACAAAGAAGTGGTCACTTGGCTAGACTCTGTGAGCCTTTCCAAACACAACGAAGCAAAGTTAATCACTTAGACGTCGCACATCCAACAGTGGCATTCAGATATGACGGCAGGAGAGTTGGCCAGTCTTAACCGCATTATGGTCCAAGAAGGTTGAATGGGGACTGCCCATCCGAGACATCTCAAAGTTCAAGGCCCCGTCACCTCTGAAAATCCTTGCACTGGGCACCATACTGCTCGCTTGGCTACAGCAGGCGGTTGACAGTCGATCAGCTGGAGTCCAGAGGAAAAGCGTTGGTGGGGCAGCCACCGCAGTGATGTGGAATTGCGGCGTAACACACACCTCTTTTTCCAGTGTGCGTAGGAAACTCCTATGCTGTTCGGCCATGAGCTAATGGACATCGTCATTTGGGCCAGAGGAAAATCGTTGCTGCCCAGACCATACCTGTACAGTTTCTACCGTTTCTGTAGTGACATTCCGGGCCGTTTGGCAGTGCTAACGGCTCACGTTTGTACTGCTTGCGATAGATAGTGCTTCTCGGATTCGTCGTGTCGCTGTACGTTATTCCACCAATTTCGGGTTGTGTCTGATACACGTTTGAGCAGATACCTGTTTCTGAGAAATCCAGCACGGCGCAGTGCGTTCCACATCAGTCTCGCCCTTTTCGAAGGTTCACAAAATGCCATTCACATGTGTTGAATGTATGTCTGTCTGCCTGGATCAAGCACTTTAGGAATCCGTCGTTTTATAGGTCGTTTTGCAGATGGTTTCACACAGTGAGAATGATTATTTGGGCAATCCGCATCTAGTTCATTCCCTGCCGGTGCTGTTACAGTACATCTGCAGCGCGCTACAACAGATTCCAGGTGTGGCCTGGAGACCCCCCAGCAGAAAAACAGTCCGTTCGATGGAGCAGACACACCCCAATGAGATATAACTGGGCATGTATTCTGGAGTTCAATCCTCCGGCACGCTGCAATATACGAAGAACACCTATCGATTTCCTGGGCTGGCGCAGTTGATTCTCCGAGCGATACAGCTTTGCCCACAACTTGCGGAGATGGCTTGCACTAGCATCCAGAAACAAAAACCTTCGCACGATTCCACATCGGGATGCTAACAACCGTGGCTTCAGCATGGGATGTGGTGTGGGGCAATGGTATGGTGGCGGACGGTTTATTCAGGACGCTGCTGGCAACACAGTACTTCAGGTTACTGAAAGACTGTTGGCAACTGCAAGGTTGCAACCCTTGGCGCAATGCTGTCAGGAAGGATATTGGACGCCCGATGGCCAGTATGCCAATTCAGTATGCTTTGATGATGGCTGTTCATATTACTTTGCCATTCTCCGGGCAGCGGTTCATGATGGTATTCTTCTGCGTTAAGAGAGGCATTCGATCCGGCATCCCTGTTTCACCCGCTCCCTTGTTGCCGCTGTCCTGCTTCTCCTTTCTCGTCCTCCTTGTACTCCTGGTCGGGGCCAGGCTCTCTGTTGCCTCTTCCCCTGTGTCTCTCTCCTGTCTTCCGCTCCGCCCTCTCCTTGTGTCGTTGCTCTTCCCGCTTCCGTGGTCGGTCTCGCTCCATGGGCCTGCTCCTCTGTCCTGGCCGTCGCCGTTGCCTTCCCATGCTTCTTTGTGCTCGTTCTCGTGTTCGTCTGGTTTCTTTCCCGGCTCTCCCTGCTCTTCTGTGTCGTGCTCTTCGGTCCTTGCTCCTTTGTCTGTTGGTCTCTCTTTCTGCGCATCGTTTTCTGTGGAGCTTGACGAAGCTTAAAGTGGTGTAGACAGCGAAGCACTGCACGACTCGCCCTGATGCTTGATTGCATAACTGTGCTCACATGACATGGCATTAAGCTGTTTGGACAGCTCAGCAATGCACTCAGCCTCTGGCCTTTTGACCCTTGGTAGCATCTCGCACAGTGTGACTGCGTGGCCCTGATATGAAACGTACCGCCGACGTTGGGGGCTTTGCCGAGCGAAGCAGCTTTACGTTCAGAGTACGCAGTGTTCCTGGCTTGTGTTCTGCCGAGACTATGGAGTTGCGAATCCTTGTTTGGAGCGATGAAACAGTGGACCACATCAAGTGGCATATCCAACATGAAATTTGGTCTCGATCACGTACGTGGCACTATCGAAGCAGTTCTGGGCTGACCCAGAATGGCACGCATGGCATGGCCCGTACACGACGCCAGTTCGTGGACTGATCACTGAACATGGGTTGATCTGTGGCAGCTGATGTGAATGCTTTTCTACGTCAGGTGTTATGGATCCCTTGAGCAATAAGTGTAGAGATTCCCACGTTTCCTGCTCTTGAACTGCCTAATGTGCTGGACCGACGGGTTGCGTTTCTGTGTGACAGACAACATCTGTTCTTCTTTGTTTACTTTGCGACAGCGCAAGGCTTTCATTCGGACATGCGTCCTGGCATGCGCGAAGAGTTGGAAGGTTTTACCAGCATGTATCATGAACGACTAGGACAGCTGGTTACAAGCTGGCTGCACGAATGCCTGCAAGAGATTGAACATGTTGACATGCAGAATGTTGCATTACGACTGCGGCGATACAACCTTACTTCATTCAACGTTGCACCGTGTATGTTCTCCTGTGTTACACGGGTCCAGATTTTCCTCGCATCATTCACATGGCGACTACATGTCGGATGATCTGATGTGCTGTGCTGCGTGGTACACAAGGCCGGATCATGCTGAACTTCAGACATCTTCTTGCTTTTGTGCAACAACGATTACTTGTTCATGACTGGTTGCATCGAATGGATGAAGATCGGTTCAGAGTGTCTGGTTGCTTAGTTGCGCAATTCAAGCTTACGTGCATTTGTTGCCCCTGAGTGCCCTGAGAAGCTTTCCAGTGATTACGCTGAATGAAGTGCTTGAGGGATCAAAATGACCGCTTGTATTGCTTTGTCTCTCGCCTCTAACGTTGGATGTATAAGGACGCCGTGTCTGCAGCCATTTTATGTTCGGTTCAACATGCCGTGTACCTTTCTCAGTGTATGGATGGATACCACGGTTCGTACGACAGTTATGACTTTTCTCCTGGTACACAGCGTTTTACAGGTGAGCGCCTCGAAGTGCTTACAGCCTACAAGATGCTTGCAGCATCAATTGACAGCTTGGGAACGCTGGCTACAGTTGGGACAAGGCCGATGCTTTCAGGCGCACAATTTCTGCAATTTCTCCTATAATGCGATGGACTCTTCAGATTCGTTCACTTGTGACCTCAAGTGGCACAAACAATTCTACAGATATCGAAACATCTGCGAATGTTGAGCTGCCTACATGACAGATAGCTCCTACGTCGGAGATTGTACCGTACAGTGCGCCAGGAACAGTGGTGATGTGTGCGTGCAAGTTGGCATTCGCCAACAACCATGGAGTTAGCAACGTGGTCACAAGGTAGCGCAGCTCTGTTGTGCTCACTGTTTTTGAAAATATGCCCGATGACAGGTGGGGAGCTCAGTTTGTCGCGCAGCAACGCTGGCGTGTTCTGCAAATAACAACGCTGGCGTGTTCTGCAAATACCGACGAGATGATAGGGCGTTCATCAACGCTCAGTGGCTTTTCCGGCAACGCCTCCGACAGTGTCCGACAGGATGTCATATTACTGCGTCTCCTCCTCCTCCCTCTTCCCCTCTCCCTTCTCCTCCTCCTCCTCCTCCTCCCCGTCCTCCTCTTCTCCCTCCTTTTCCTCCTCCTCCTCCCCCCCAGTCGTTGCAGATCCAGGCATTCGGTCGCATGCAACTTTGTCGTCAAGGCGCCCAACTGGACAAAGAAGCCCTAGGACACTATTACTCAGACATTCTTCTCGCAGTGATCGGTCCAGATCCAGGGATTCAGTGCGATCGTGGTCACCGGCGGTAGCTATCAGATGTACTGACAAATGCAGTGCTCAAGGTGTGCAAAAGGCATGTGGGCGTGATGTCTTTCCGCCGTGCATGCTGATCACACTACATGCATCCCTGTCAGTACTTTGCATTTGTTGTCTGCGCTGATGGTGCTCAGGTTTGTGATTGATTGTTAGCTGTGTATCTTTTTGACCTAGATCTCTACAGACATGGCCGAAAGTTCTCATGTTGCCGAAGCTGTGAATGTAGGGCGTGGGCCTAATGCTCTCGGGAACGGCGCAGTTTCTGTCTCTCGTAGCAGGAACCCAGCAGTTACAGCGGTCAGAGATCTTCCACCTGACGCTGATCAATCCCTCACTCGGGAAAGCGATGCGGGGCAAAAAACCTTCTCACGCTACATATTAAAAACCTGATTGATCAGCAAGAGGACTAAGCTCGTCTCAATCACATGATGACGACGCTGAATGATGAGCGTCGTAGAAATGTGGCTCTACTACGCTACTACTCCGTATCTAGACCATTATGGACCCGGAGTTTCAGCCTGATCGTTTGCTTCGTGGCTTCAATGTACCGTGGTTTGCTGATTTGAGAAGGAGGGCTGCCCGTAGAGAGCACTGTGGATCTGCAATCTGCAACGCTTTCAACGGTTTCAAAAAGCCTTGCCGATGCACGCTGGGCGTTTCCATGTTTTGTGCTGCATGCATTGCTTGGTCACGCGTTCTTTTTCCACGTCTGTTGACCGGTCTGTTTGCACCTCATGTCTTGATGTGCTCTGTTTCGTGTCTACCTTTCACCATTTGGACTTGGGGACATGAGTACTTCCGTGCAAGCGCCATGGCATTTGGCTTGTGACTTTCTCATTCCGAGAGAGGTGTGGCTAACGGATCGATGCATGGTTCAGTCACTACGGCTTGCTTGGGCGTCGATCACACACTGTACGTAATTGAACTGCCTGGTGACGCAGTCCGTGTGTACCAAAACCTCACATATGTCGCTCCAAGTTTTTGCTTGTGCGTTCAGCTTGGTGTAGTGCAGTCGTCGTGGATGAACCGTTCTGACTCTCATGCCTTGCAACATGCAGCTGTGATTTTTGGATGCCGGCCCACATTGAGACGTTTTTGCTCGTTACCAGACCCCTTTGCGGCAATACCTCCTTGTGCAGCTCTCATGTCCTTTCAGGCTGATCAACACTTTGCAGCATGCGGCGCAAATGGCACTCGAAAGCTCACCACCGATTGTGGCGGTGCGCTTCATGCTTCGCTGCTCTGAGACCATACGTGCCGGCGAAGCATGTCTAGCCGCTCGACTTGTCCACTTTATTGCGAAATCTGTCAAGCGCTACATGCGGTCGCAGCCGTGAAGATCACAACCATTGCCGATGCTTAGCACATCAGCGAGAGGACATGATTCCGAGCCGCGAAGCCCTTGCTACTCGTCCTTCTCGACATGGACATGAGACGCAAAGCCGGAACCGTTCGCAAAGCAATGAATCTTCGGACATCGGGTCAAGAATGCGGCCCCCTCGTCGATCGGACTAAGGTGAATGCCGGTTTGCTGTTGGAGTAATTATGAGCAAGCTTGATTTTCGGTCTGTCAAGGCGGACTTTCGAATGACTACCTTGCATGCTGCTCGTTTCGGTGACTGCATCTGTGATCGTTCGAGGACATGTCAGATTGAGTGCTCAGTTGACCTCGTCCTGTGTCATGTTTCAGCTCGATGTTTCGTCTTTGGCTTACAGGATACTGTCTTTGCAATTTGGGATTTGTGTAGTACTGTCTTGAGACATGGATTATCTCATTGCCATGGATGTTCCAGAGGTCGCCAGATTGGTGATGAGTTTCTTGATACCGCCACTGGTATCTTTTACATTGGTCGTCAACCCCCTTTATTTGGAAGACAGCCCATCCCAAAACGGGGATCACCATAGGCATGCAGCTGATGTTGCGGCCAGAGAACTTGCCTTCCGTCTAGTTGAGACCAAATTTCGACTGCTCCCATAAGTACTCAAGCAGTTTACCCGGCCCGTGATTCATGAAGTGGAAACCACAGCATTCCTGTTGATGCATGTGGTATAGCCAAATATCTTTTTCTGCAGACGTATTGGCAGTACTTGTTTACAGTGGTTACATGCAATCAGGATATTGGTGGCTGGGAGAGGCAGAATTCGAGTCCAGTCACTTCCGAATACGGCAATGGAGCACAATGCCAGTTGCAGCCTATATGTTGGCACTGATGGCGAAGATGCGGAGATGGATTTCCTCTTGCTTGATCACTTGCATGTGCAGTACTTATGCCACCCCATGTGCGGGCCTTTTCCTAGACCGTAAGCGCTGCGATGTCTCAACTTGGATGGTTTTTGCATCTGACAAAAGGGACTGCTTGCTCTCATGTCTGCTGAGAGATTACCCCATGGCTGATGGCCCCGTTATGGGGCCTGTTTGTGTTATTCTGCTGTAGATGTGACAAATTTTGCATCTAGAGTAGGCATGTCTGAGCTTGCTCCTTTTTCATCTTTGAACCTTGATGGCATGTGCTTGAGAGTAACAGGCAAATCCAATTTTTGATTTGTGATTTTGCTTTTCGCCTCTCATTTTCTCATTTTCAAACGGTGTACGGCCGACTCCTTGTTGCTTCCGTAAACATTTCATTTCGTAACAGTCGCAGGGGGCAATGCGGGCTGTCCCTAGCCATGCCAACGAAGCTATGGGAACAGACCAGAAGGGAAACTGGACGCAGTTCCCCGTACCTGCAAAAAGAAAACGATGCGGACGCTGCGTGGTAACTTTGGCATCTACATCCAGTTTTCTGTCATCATCAAAACAAGGTTCGTGAGGCACTGTGTGAGCGCTCATGTCTACATGACAAATGTCTAAATGGTTTCCGCAATCTGCATGTGTTCTGACAGTTTTGGCAACTTGACAGGAGTGCATTTGCAGACGTGCACCCATAATTAACGACCCGATGGTCGTCGTCCATGTCAAACTTGGGTCTCACAGTACCAGCCTAACTTGTGTCTAAAGAGTTGTGGGTCATGCAATAGTGGTGCATGCGAGCAGAGCGCATGCTGATAATCATGTGAGGAAAAGGCGATAGTTTGTCCCTCGGTCCGTGCATGCCACGTGGCTGCAGCTTGCTTGAGTCGCACCGTTTGGGCCCACAGCGAAGACTTGTGTCGAAGTCAATGTCAAGTGCCTTTGCAGAGATTCTTTCTTGTGGCCGCACTAAGAAGCGAGCTCGAGCTGTGTCATTGGGTTCGCAGGTTGCTCGGATCTGGTCGACTGCGACGCGGATGCTCCCTGGCCGAAGGCGGCTGCGAGTTCTCTTTGCCTTCAATGTGCCACTAGGTTTGAGGCTGTGGATTGTTCTCATGTTTGTAAAGCCATCCCATGTCTAAAAGTAGAGCAGTCGCGAAATAAAGAACATGGCGGGCTGTACCTGCACTCCGGCGGACCGATTGTCGGAAACATGTACACGAGGCTTGCAAAGCTACATTTTCAATCATCCGCAGTGGGAAGTGACATGTCTCCGCACATCGTGCATAGAGTCACAGCGGGGGACCCTAAATAAAGTATTGCACCCAGGTTCGAAAATGTATTTCACAGGGGGGGCTCTAGACTCCGGTCGTTGAGCCCGATGCAGTGCTACTATCACTAGTATGCATGTGCCCTGTACCCGCACCAAGTGGCTAATGCATAGCTCACTGGAATTCGTCTAATGAGACCGGATCTGGCCCCGTGAAGAATGTATGCCGCGGCCCCCCTTTGCAAATCTTTGCAATGCATTCCTCCTGTCTCTTCGAGCATACTGCCAGAGAGTGTGCGTGTGTGTGTGTGTGTGTGTGTAAAGCACTTGGAGCTGTCGCTATCGTGCATTGACCTTGAGATCTTGACATAGAGCGAATCTTTGCAAACACATGCTGATTCGGGAATCCTGCAGAAGACTTTGTCGAGACATCGCATGCATCCGGCATGTTCGTGAGCAACACAGGTAGTCAAAAATAACCTTTTCCACATTCTTCCACTAATTATACAACACTCCCCCGAATTGACATCGACGTGGGGTCCATGTTAGGTGTGTTCGTTTTCGATCGCATGGGCTGGCGCTGGGTTCCGTTCAATTTCCACATCCTAAACAACAACCCTAAAAGCCTAATAGCTAGTAATGTCAGAGTCAAGTAGCAGAGGAAGTCAGGATAGTGGTTGAGTCGGTTTTTGCCGAGACGGTTTAAGCTTGAAATTTGAAGCGAGTACCTCATTCATTTAAAGCAGTAGTTGCAGAATAGAGCCTGACTGGATTCTGGAGCAGCACGGCTGACTCGCATCAGTGGGGGTCCGATGGCAACGAACAGCAGGGAGAGACAAAACGACAAAGCCAGCCTTCATGTCATGCCCCGGCTGAGCCGAGCTTAGGCCTCTTTGTATGTACCCTCAAAGCCCCCAACCCTTAAGCCCTCAACCTTAAACCCCCGAGCCCTCATCCAAAACTGAAAACCACTCTTTTCACAAAGAACGTATGCCTTGTCGCCTAGGCAGTAAGCCTCCACCTAGGATCCTACACACCCTTCTAAAGCCCCTGGCTCTCAAGCCCTTGACCCTAAACCCGCAAACCCTTCAGCGTTTTCGTTCGAAGTACTGTAAGCAGCACTACTGTTCGTACTAATAGTAACAGTACGGGTATTGCTATTAATTAATATTCCGTAGCGGCCACTGATACCACAAGTCCACAAAAGTCGCTACTTCTCCTCCTCCTAGCTCGTAGTATCAACAGTCCCGGTATGTCCGGGTTGTCCCCTACCAGTTTTCCCTCAGTTTGATATTTGGCCCCGAGACCGCAAAAGCTCCCGCAGAGCCAGTCTTTCAATTAGGGGTGGGTTTAGAATTCCGGGGAAGCGATTTGAGCCAGATACGCTTTCGTGCACTTGTGGGTACCTGTGGCAAAATCAGAGGTGGGATGTCGTGAAACAGGTTCAGGTACTATTTCGATTCCACAGCGCAAATCCTCTCAGCAACAGCTTCTGCCGCCAGCTTTTGAGAGATTCTAAGTTTCTAAGTTCTATCATGTTCTATCCGACCGACGTCGAGCCCCTGTGGTGACTGTATGTGGTCTTTTTCAGGTATGCAAGCATTCCACCGATTGCCTCCCGATTGAGGTCATGAACTAGGCTTCCTACACGTAGGAGATTGCAGGCGGTTCGGAACAACACGGCAGAAGTGGGCAGTGTGAGAAGCCAGGCGCTCAGCATCGGAAGATTCCATGCAATTTGAAGATGTTCGTAGACTTTCAAACTGCATGGCTACCTGTGGCATCCGCAAACCATGTTTTTGCTGGATCACCCCTCAGTTTTCAGGAAGAATAAGGAGGGAAGAAAAACTCAGAAACAACTGCGACAACCAGAACCGCAAGCACCCCCCACCAAAACCACCCGACACAACAACAACAACAACAACCACAACCACAACCACAACCACAACCGCAACCGCAACCGCAACCGCAACCGCAACCGCAACCGCAACCGCAACCGCAACCGCAACCGCAATCGCAGCAGCAACAACAGCAACTGCAGCAACAGCATCAGCAATAGCAGCAACAGCAGCAGCAGCAGCAACAGCAGCAACTGCAACAGCAACAGCAACTGCAACTGCAA